CACACATGTATTTTATATAGAATGTTCAATTGTATAGAATGTTAGAAGCTGGTCAGTGGCATAGGGGGAGAAACAGGATTGGAGGATCAGGATGCTGGGGGATGGCTGAGAATAAAATACAAGTTCTCCTAGTTTTGTTTTCTCTACTTCTGCTATTTCCCCTGACAGTGATTCTATCCTTCCCTTGTTTGATATAACATTACTTCAAAAAATTCGTTTTTGTTTTGGCATGTTTTATAAATCTCCTCTTATTCTGTGCTTCATAAGAAGTCTTGGTGTTTAGGGCAATCTTTTTTATTTATCTCAGGTCTTTGCTCCTAATTTCCTTTTTAAAATTTGGATCTCATCCAATGGTTAGTTACCCGTGCAGCTGCATCTTTTTCTTTACATATGTGCGCATCCCCTTTTTCTTTACGTATGTGTGCATCCCCTTTTTCTTCCTCATGGGAATTATTCTCAAGGTTGACTTTTTCCCTTTTTTTGGTTTTCTTATTTCTATTTCTACCTTTTAAAAAAATTATAGAATTACAGGCCATATTACTTCTGTGTTTTTTAAGTTTAAAAAATATGTTTTTGTAAAATTTAGAGTATTGGAATATGCAGGATTACTAACAAACTCTCAAAACAAGTTCGTCATTTTTAAGACTTTTGAGATGTCCAATGAAATAGAAAATTATGTTTTTAAAATCACATTAATTCTAAAATAGCAATTTTTATCATTTTATCTATTTCCTCCTAAAGTGGCCATTTTCAGGAAGGTAAAAATTTTATTAAGATATTTTTCTTTTTTCTTGATGCAAATCAAGTACCTGAATTCCCTACTCTTGCCATATTTTACCTCTGCGCAATGCTATAATTTGAGACAAGAAAGCATCCTTTATCTGGCCAGGTAAATTGTAACTTTTCACCTGACAAAAATTTTATTACTGATGTTCATATGCTTATTTACCTCCTCCATTTCTTAATTCTAAGGACAAGTATATAATACTTCATCCATCCATCCATTCAATCCATCCATCTATCCATCCGTTCAATCTATTCATCTACCTGTATTTACTGAGAGTCTACTATGCATCTGGCACTTCTGGGTGCTGAGAACACAACAGGGAACAAAACATTCTGTTAGCTCTTTCTGTGGAAAAGGGGTTCTTAGAGCCCGTTGTCTGCTCACTGAGTAGTGGCTGAAGCTCCTTCTTAGAAAGGCCTGTGCACCTCCCATAAACTCAGACTCATACCTGATGTACCATGTTGATCTTGCTGCTTACTTTATCTCCTGCTTCTTGAAACTTGCTTTGATTCTCTTTTTACCTTTAAAACCATTTTTCTTCTGATTCCTGTTCCTCACCCCCTTCTCTATTTTGGAACCTGTTATTTCTTCTAATAAGCTCAGGGCCAGAGAGGAACAGCTTTTCACCATCTTCTGTGGTGATACCAGCTTGCACTTAGAGTAGTAAGTGGCTGGCTGTCACCACAGGCAAGGAAATAAATTTAGCACAGAGCTTGTGTGTCAGAGGGATATTGGGATAACTCAAGGTTTTTGGTCCAAAGTGCTATATGTCAGATAAATTTATGTATATCTCCACCCCTCTCAAAAAGGAACAGCAAGAGTTTTCAGTGCAGTCACAAGAAAATGCATTACCAAACTGGAAGGCCACGAAGGTGAAATTTCAAAGGTGAGTTGCTTTCTCATTTGGAGCAGTTTATTTACTTCCAAAAAATAAACAGTATGCTTAGTATAAATTGATCTGTTGGAATGGAGGTATTAAGGTTTATTTAATTATCTCATTCTTTCTAGAAATCAGTTACCTAAAGACTATGACTATTTTTAAGTGCATCCTTAAACTCAGCATAATGATTTCTAAAACCTTTTAAAAAGTATAAAACAGCATTCTTCTCAACCATCAGCAAAAGACTTACTTAGTTGAAAATACTTAAGACAGCAATTTCAGGTACTTATAAAGTGCTTTTCCTGGTTATAGTAAACATGCAAGTTTATATTATGCAAAAAAACATGCTTGCAGCAAGTATTAAGCATTCTGTGAATTAGATGTGATCGAGGAAGTATTTCCTGGAAATATTTAACACTTAGAGAATAAAATCATTCATTTTGAAACTTTAAAGCCATATCTTAAGCTTATATATAAACTCCTCCCTAAAGCTTATTCTCAGAGCAGGGCCACCCAGTCAGCTTTAGATGTGTCATCAGAAATTCCCAGAGTGGGCTACAATTTGGTGGCTCTCACCCCCAAGCTCAGCACAATTCCTTGGTCTTGTGTCTGATACTAGATTTACTCTTTCCTTGTAAAATACCCACTTGATGATTTCAGCTCTTTGAAGGCTCCATCTAGACCCCAAACCACCCCGTGCTGTACTCTCGCCCCTCCCGCCTCTGCACCTGCTGCTGGTGGCCATTGTCCTCTGGTGGTCGGTGCTGGTCTTTGCAATAGTGCAGCCCACGTCCCCTTCATAGGCTGGGAGGCAGGCTGAGGAGGGAGCCCGGGCCATTTTTCTGGGTGTCTGTGTAGGTAGCTATTGACACGTCTGGTGTGTTTCCTTAGCAAGTACACATCTGTTTTTGTGAATGTGTAAATATAAAGAGTTCTCAAACTCTGTCTTATTACATTTTACGCTTGCTAGGTGAATATATTACTTATGTGACTGCCATCTGGTAATGGCCTTTTTGGGGAGTGCAAAGCTAAGGTATTTATTTATTCATTTATTCATTCAGTAAACATTTTTTGAGAGCTCCCACTGTGCTAGGCATTGTGCAGGCACTGGTGACACAGCGAGGACAATTAGGCATGACCCTGCCTTCCTGCAATCTTCATTCAGGGATGAGGTGGCTCAAATTGTTGTCTTCTGATGATTGGTGAGGGATGTAAGCGTGGCACCCAAAGGAAGGGAGGACTCACAGGTCCTTCAGCCGCTGCTCAGATACAACTGACAACGCCTGCACATGGCAGACACTCAACCATACTTATGGAAGGTGCTGTAGCAATAGAGGAGAAAGTCCTCTCTCATAGGCTCCAATGTTCACTGATTCCATGTTACAGATTTAAGGGGGATCTCTGTGATCTCAATCACAAAGATGATACCGGGAGTTGGATAGGAAGGAGGCTGACTTGTGTTTACATTCCACACAAGGGTGAGGTGATCACGAGTCTTTGGAAAGAAGCTGGGTGGGGAATACTCAAATTATAAGGGTGCTTTGGTCTTTATCCTTAGAATGGTGAGGGGATAGGCAATTAAACTTCTCCAGCTAGATTTTAATTTTTATGTATTGATCCCTGCAATATTTTTCCCATCATGACAAAAATTGTTCTATGTATAAATACCAGGCTGGGAAGGTAATAGGTGCTTAGTAACGTTTCCTTTTGTGGATGAAAAATATTTTGGAGACCATTACACAAACCTGTGATCATTTTTTTTTCTTTCTCTTTTGCAGATTTCTTTCAACCCCCAAGGGAACCGTCTTCTGACTGGTAGTTCTGACAAAACAGCTAGAATCTGGGATGCTCAGACTGGCCAGTGCCTCCAGGTCCTTGAAGGTCACACTGACGAAATCTTTTCATGTGCTTTCAACTATAAAGGCAACATAGTCATTACAGGTATGGGAGACATAGATACCACACACTTGGGTTTCCTTGTGAATTGGCTATTAGAATTTCTAAGCTGAATACTAAAAAGAACCCCTTTTCTGGGGTTCCTGGCTTTTGTTGGGATATCATTCTATTTCCATTACTTAATTTTAGTTGCATCAAGACCCACAGTAGTGGGCTCTGCCACTGCATGTAAGTCTTCATGAATTTTGAGTCTTTGTTGCTCGAGGAAAGGTAACAATTTGGTAGTCTGCCTTACTGGCTATTACATTTTCCCATGTTTCATCCCTCGTGAATGGTTAATATTCACTTGATAGTAATATTACTTGACAGTTAATATTCACTTGATGTCTGTAAGAATTTATAACCAAAACAAGCCAGGACTACAGTTCTCCACAGTTGGTCTTATAGCCTACTACAGGTTTATTCTTTGAGCTAAGTTGTCCACCCCAACCCCCCAGCAGCTCAGTAGTTGGCCGGTAAGGGGAGCTGAACCCTTGACTTTGGTGTTATAAGGCCGTATTCTAACCAGCTGAGCCCAAATATTTTTATTTTTATTTTAGTGGCTGGCCGGTACAGGGAACTGAACTCTTGACCTTGGTGTTACAAGGCCTCACTCTAACCAATAAGTTGTTGTATTTTCAGATGTCTCCTTTCAGATATTTCCTGCCTGCTAAAGTGCTAATATTTGGGGGGGAAGAGCATATATTGAGCATTTTTCCCACGATTCACTACTTATTGTGAATTAATCATATTAGCAACATTTTATATGAACTAGATTAAGAACAAGTTAATTTAGATGGTGGAAAAGGGGAAAAAATGACAAGAATCTGGTCTAATGTCAGTGAGGCACGTCTGGGGGAGGCCTTGGCAGGGAGTGGGGGTCCGCAGTGGTGTGGGTAGGGGTGCCCCAAGCAGGCACAGCAGACCACATCTGCCTCATTCCCAGTGATTCTCATCGTTTTGAGTAAATTTAAAAATTGCTACACTGGTCCAGTAAGTTAAATATTGCACACTCAAGGTTGGCTTCATGTATTGGTTGGTAGGATGGTTTCCTCGTCATATAACTTCAGGGGTGGTGAGAATCATTTCTCCTTTTTCCCTAAAAATCATCCCCTTTCTACTTAATTATGGATAAGTTCTAAAATTACAGCTTATTTTCTTTGGGCTTATAATGTTCAAGTGTTCACTAAAACGTAGGTACTCCTGAAATACTACCCTAATAAGCCACGTGTTTTATTATGAACTTGTTATCAAATCCTTTCCCATGATACAGGGGGTAGGGGGAGCTTGTAATGGAGGCATAGGACGCTGCTGCAGGGAGCTGCTGTCAATGAGGAAGAAGGGGGCCGGGCTGGTGGGTCCAGGGCCAGCCTTTCCCAGTCCATGTGTTTCATGTGAGGCCCAGGCTTGGCAATACCTCTTTCCTCAACCAGTTTTCACAGAAGACCCTGGAGAGTTTAGAGAAGAAATATTAGGCATCTGTGTCTCATTTAAGTTCTGGCACTTAAATTCCTGAGCTCTTTTAACATATTATTGATTTATTTAGTGTATCCCAATCACCAAAGTGCTAAATACTGGCTCAATGGATGACAGAGCTTATTATGCACGTAAATTCCTGAGGTCTTTTGAGATATTATTGATCTATTTAGTGAATCCCAAAGTTGCAAAGTGTCAAATCTTGGCTCGATGGATGGCAGAGCTTATTATGATGGGATGTCACTTCTGACATCCCCTGCAGAGCAATCACATTAGTTGAATTTGCCTGCCCTACCTTCTGAGTGCATCCCAGTGTGATTAACTGCATGCATTTTTTAGTGGGCTGCCTGAGGTTGGGTTTAGAATCACAGATTTGCAGAAAAGTGTCCAGTATTCTCTTTGCATTTTTAAAAATGTGAGGTGTCTTTTTGTGGGATATGCAGTTTTTACAGGCTTTACCAATTTCTATAGTCCTCATACTTTAAAAAAAAAACTTTTTATTTTTAAAATGGTAATTGACAAATATTGATGTTATGTGCCTAGTCCCCGAAAGTGAGGGAACCTGAAGTTTCCAGTGCTGATAAGAAAAACCCGTTCACATTTTCAAATGTTCCACAATGGAGTGTCCTGCCTCCTCGTAAGCCTATCACCTAAACCTGGAGGTATTTAAATCCATCATATCTCTACTTGGCAGGGATGTTTGAGGGGAGGAGTGTAGAGGGGGTAGCTGAAGTGGTTGCATTCTCCCATGGTCCTCTCCATTTCTAAGATGCCGTGAATCTTGCTTGTGTGACAGGATGTGAACATGCTCAATTTAAGACTGGCTGGTATAATAAACAACAATAACAACAACCAAACCCCCCAAAACACACTACTTCAAAAATGCCTGAGCTTCTCAAGGGTTCTGCAGCTAGGTGCTGAGAGTCTAGGCATTGAGTACCTTGCTAATTACCAGCGACACACAAAATGTCAACTTGTAAAGAGAGAAAGTGAAGTGAATAAAATAAAGAAAAAAAATAACTGTGAAATTTGTTTTCTTAGGTAGCAAGGATAATACCTGTAGGATATGGCGTTGACTGATGGAAGCCCATGGGCAAGCAAACTTGCTAGCAATTGTGATCAAGAACTGGAGCTTCAAAAAGAGCATGCAGCTATTTGGATATTTCATGTACTTTTTCTTTTTCTACAGGTCAACTGTTTATACACTCTGTTTTTAACTTCACAGATATGACCATTAAAACTGATGAAGTTCTATAATTTCTCGATATTATTTGATGGGGATGACAGGAAACAGAATGGTTGGCAAATGCCACTAGATATTTAGGTTGTGTTTTAGTTTTTAATAACATTATGATACTGATAAATGAAACCAGAGTGATTTAACAATGTGTCTCCTAGATTCTACTTTGAAGGTTATTGTTATGTATCTGTTGACTAAAGTTGCTGGAGAAAATTCCTTGTGAATTGTACATGTGTGTTTATGATGTATGTTTTTAGCATGATATTGGAAAATAAAATGAATTTAATTTAATAGCAAATACCTTCTGGATTGATAGTGGGTTGAAAAAGATGTAGGCAAGTTTATCTCTAAGGAAAAGTTGAACAGAATAGGCATTCAGAGTACTGAATTTAAAAATCTGGGTGGAGAAAAACAATTACATTGTGTAATGTTGAATGTACTAATTAGCCTGCTTTGAGCATCACATGTTGCACACGGGTATTGATATTCAACCATGTACCCCACAGATATGTATAATCAACTATGTTTCAATAAAAAACAAAAGGAAAAAAGAAAATTCAAATGTTAAAAAAAAAAATTCTGGATGTGGGAGCTAAGAGAGAAAGAAGGAAAGAAAGACCACAGTACTGTGTTGGACTTGCAAAGGGAGAGAACATTCTATGGGCTACAAAGTGGAGTGGGGGGAAGGGGGAGGGGGAGGGAGGTTGGGGATAATTGGGTGGGGGACACGGGGTACAAATGCAATTTGTGGTTATGGGTATACAGCCAGTATGAATTTGGTCCCCACATCACAGGCATGAGGGGTGACAGTCAGCTTTGTATCTCATGAATATTCATAGCCAATTAAAAAAAATCTGGGTGGAAAAAAATTGAAGCATGAGAGCAAAGGATTAAACACCGTCCTGAGTACCGTTTGTGTGTGTGTGTGTGTGTGTGTGTGTGTGTGTGTGTGGTAAGAATACTTAATCTGAGATCTATTCTCTTAACATATTTTAAACAATGAACAATCCTGCATTGTTAACTATAGATACAATGTTGTACAGCAGATCTCTAGAATTTATTCTAGAACTCATTTTCTTCATAGTACAAGCAGTAGCCAGTATGGTTGAGTGTTTACTATGTGCCAGACGGTGCCCAACCACTTTATGTAGGTCATCTCATTTAATCCTTTTAGCAACTGCTACAAAGTAGCTTTACAAAGTAGGTAAAAGCCCTGATTTAACAAAGGAGAAAGGTGAGTCACAGAGAAGTTAAGTAATTTACTAAGAGGATCCAGATATTAGGTGCTGGAGTTGGCTTTAGAACCCAGGGATCGTGGCTCCATTGTACCATGTTCTTAAGCAAAAAATGATTTAATTATGGGAGGAAAGTATCAGAACTATCTGTAAGATGGATTGAAATGGGGCTTACCTCATAGATCATCTTTGGATGTTTACCCCCAAGAAGGAAAAATTTAAACACAAAGCAAAATAAAAACTTTGGCGTGGCTGTTGGAAGGATGCAGTTCTGAGACAGTGAAGCCAAGAAGAGCTCGGATTAGAGAAAACTGGGCCAATATTTGGCTACTTTTTTTTTTAAAGCAAGTCATTTAAATTCCATTATTATTATTATTATTATTATTATTACTTTTAGCTTTAGGTATAATTGACAAGTAAAAATTGTATATATTCAAGGTATACAATGTGATATTTTGATATAGCTTTACATTAGGAAATGATTTTCACGAAGGCACAAAGGAATTAACATATCCGTCACCTCGCAGAGTTACCCCCCACACCCTGCCGTGTGGAGAGAACACTTAAGATCTACTCTCTTAGGAAGTTTCACATATACATTATTATCTGTAGTCACCACACTGTACATTAGGTCTCCAGAACTTATTTGTCTCATAACTGCAAGTTTGTACCCTTTGACCAACATCTCTCCGTTTCCCCCACCTCCTGACTCCTGGTAACCACCATTCTACTCTCTGTGTTTGACTGCTTTAGAGTCCACATGTAAGTGAGATCATGCAGTATTTGTCTTTCTTTGGCCTATTTCACTTAGCATAATACCCTTCAGGTTCATCCGTGTTGTCACAAATGACAGGATTTTATTCTTTTTCAAGACTGAATAGTATTTCATTATCTATATATCTATATATCTATATCTGCATGTCTGCACTTCCACATTCATGGCAGCATTATTCACAATAACCGAGATATGGAAACAACCTAAGTGTCTGTCAATGAACATATGGATTGAAAAAGGTGATATACATATATATATCACATGAGATATATACATATAAGATACTTAGATATATATCATATTTTCTTTATCCACATGGATATACAGATATGTGGATGTATTTTCTGTATCCATTCATCTGTCAATGGACACTTAGGTTGTTTTCGTATCTTTGCTATTGTGGATAATGCTACAATGAACATGGGAATGCAGGTATCTCTTCAAGGTAGTGATTTCATTTTCTTTGCTTATATATACATGGAGATAGGATTTCTAGGTCATATGACAGTTCTATTTTAAACTTTTTGAGGAACTTCCATACTATTTTCTATAATGGCTCTTCCACCTTATATAAGGGTACTTTGAAAAGTTCGTGGAAAGGTGCGTGTTATCTTTTAATTCTATTTTTACATGGATTTTTTGAAGTACTCTTGTATTACCACCACATCCTTGTCAACACTTGTTATCTTTTGACTTTTTGATAATAACCATCTTAACAGGTGTGGGGCGATATCCCATTGTGGTTTTAATTTGCATTTCCCTGATCATTAGTAATGTTGAGTACCTTTTAATATACCTGTTTGCCATTTGTATGTCTTCTATGAAAATGTCTATTTAGGTCCTTTGCTTGTTTGTTTAAGTGGGTTTTTTGTTTGTTTGTTTGTTTGTTTTTGCTATTGAGGTATGAGTTCCTTCTATATTTTAAATATTAACTGCTTTCCTGATACACGGTTTGCAAATATTTTCTCCCATTCTGTGGGTTGCCTTTTCTTTCTATTGATTATTTCCTTTGCTGTCAGAAACTTTTTAGTTCGAAGTAGTCTCATATTTTTATTTCTGCTTTTGCTGCCTGTGCTTTTGGGGTCCTATTCATCAAATCATTGAGAACACCAATGTTATGGAGCTTTTGCCCTGTTTTCTTCAAGGAGTTTTAGTTTCAGGTCTTATGCTTAATCTTCCATCCATGTTGAGTCTGGTGTATGGTAAGGATACCATTTCATTTTTTGCATGTGGATATCCAGTTTTCCCATTTCCCATTTTCTTCATTTATTGAACACTATCCTTTCCTCATTGTAGCTACTTTTAAAACTCAAAAGAAGCAGCAGACACCAATTCTTGCTGATCTAACTCTTTGATGGCTTTAGGGAAGGTGATTATATTTTTGTTACATCATTCAAAAGAGTCAGCTAGTGTATGGTGATGGAGATTTTATTTCCTGTTGACCAATTTCGGTGTAAGAAGGCCTTGGCCAGAAAATGGCTTTTTCCCCTAGTTTTTATGTACTAAGGATCTTAACAGGAAATTGATGAAGATTTCCAGATATCCTAAGCCACTTAAAAATAAATGTTTAAATACTTAGGATCATAAGAAAAGTGATAAAATACACACTTTATTTTTACTTGGAGTAAATGGCAGTGTCGGGTTGTAATAAAGCATGTGTGGAGTCTGGAGTCAGATCACCTGGATATGTATTGTGATTCCAACTCTTAGTCATTGGGCAAGTTACCTCGCTGCTCTGTGTCACAGTTTCCTCATCTGAAAAGTGGTAATAGTTCTCTTGTTGAGAATTAGGAATACTTGGTACATAATAAATATTTACTTATGATAATAAGTGTTATTTGCTTATAAGTATTAGGATATTTACTTTTAAATAAACATTTTTATGATCAATAACTTAGTAGTCATCTTATATAAACACGTTTCAGGAAAGAACCCAGTATTATTTTCTCAGAAATCATAGTTGAGATATAACTCACCTTAATGTATTACAGACATCTTAGGGAGAGAATTGTGTCAATCAAATTTTTAATCAATTAAATTAAAATTTAAGGTTCCTGGAGTAATTGTCCTTTTTCTCTATTGAACAGAGGAGTAAGAAGTGAGGAAATCATCAATGTAGATGATTATGATCTAATCCATCTTCTTCATATATTTAGATTTTTTATAAGATTTTATGAAAGTGGATCATCCTTATAAAAATGAAATATCTTTTTCTAACAACTTATATCTAAGTCTGTTGTAAAAACTGATTATGTAAATTAGAGTTATCTTGTCAGACCCAACTAAATTGGAGATGAGAGTCCAGGGAAAAAAAAAAAAGCCTTCAGAGCACAAAGAACATGCCCAGGGATTATATTGCAAGCAGCTGTCAAAATCACCTGCCATAACTCTAAGACCTGTTTTTCCTAGTAGCTGCTGAAACAAAATTCTGTGACTCTGAAGACTAGTTTTGCCTACTGCTGTAACTCATCAATCAGAGCTTGCTGACTCCCCCAAACTTTGCTAGTGTCAATGAGTTTTCTTTCAGAATAATGCATTATATATATATATATATATATATATATATATATACACACACACACACATATATATATATATATACACACACACACACATATATATATATTTATATATATATCTTATTTTATTTCCCCAATAAAACCCTAACCTTCACTTTGTTCTTTGGACATATCAAAGAAAGACCACCCTGGTTTGTGTGTATGCTCTGAATTGCAATTGTGTTTTCCCAAAACAAACATTTTGTTTTGAGATTTTTTATATTTTTATTTGACATTGATACTGTAGTAGCACATGATTTAGCATAATTTCCATTTTAAAGTTAAAATAAATGCTTTCTGTTTGATTTTGACACTGTAATAGCTCACGAGTTAGCAATGCTTTTTATAAATGTATGTCTTATGTTGCTAATTAAAAACACATCAATCACCTTTTAATTTAAATTACAAGTGAATTTATTGTCTTCTCTCTTCTACTGCTACCATTCCTCTAAAACAATTTATCATTTTGAGTCCCCAAAATTCAAAGTTAAAAAAAAATTTAAGGTATTTATAGGCATATTCCTTCTCAAACACAAAGAATTTTAAACTGACTCAAAATACCTGCAATCACTTTAGTTATCTTACGAAGACTACTTTATGTTTTGTTCAATTCAAATTCTCTGTTGCCCTGGTTAGGATGGTTTGGGCTGCAAGTAACAGAATACATGGCTAAAAGAATGTCAGTCACAGGGGTGGTTATCCAGTGGCGTGATGACTCAAGGGCCCAGGG